ACGAGAAGATTGAGGAACCTTGAGTATTGATCCTGAAATGAGAAGATTGAGGAATCTTGAGGATTGATCCTGAATCAAGTTGGTTGACAAAAATTGAGGTTCGAGTTGGTTGAGTTTATGTGTAGTCCGAGGGTAATGAGATGAAGCCAGCCCCAGCACAACGCATATGCGTTGTTCAGATGAATTTGGATCAGAAGACACTGGCACTCACCTTTGACTCCACAAAGCAATATGAGAAAGCGTGATGATTACACAACAAGGGTGAAATAGACCATGTAATCAACTGTCTTGATCAAACATAAAAAAATAAAAAAGAACAAAAACACTCACTGAGGCTGGGCCAGGTGCAATGTCCAAAGGACGATTGTTTGTGGGGTTAATGGGCCGGTGGGTCGGATGAATTTTGGGCGTTTGGGATTGAAATCAAGTGTAATTTTGGGGAGTGAGTGAAGTCGTTGGGTTAATGGGCAGGTGGGTTGGATGAATTTTGGTCGTTTGGGATTGAAATCAAGTGTAAATTTGAGGAGTGAAGTCCTTTGGGATTGAAATCGAGTGTAATTTTGGGGAGTGAAATCTGGGTGGTTGAATTTGAAATGGGGAGTAGAAAAAAGCCGGGTGAAATGGGGGGCAAAAAACAATCTTTTGGGGCTTCAACATGTGGTTTGTTAACGACTTGCGGAACAAAAGCAAATAAAAAGACTTACCTATGCAAAGTGGGCCAGTGTGATTCCACGCATCTTAGCTCTAAGATCATAATTTGGAACATTGTCATCATCAGAGTCACTTTCACTGTCTTCAGGAGCCTCATCTTCATAAAGATCATTCCATTGATCTTTGAGGTCAGCCAGCAGATTATGTAGAACAATGCAAGTAACTATCCATTTCACAGCGCCCTTCATCTCCTCCGCATTACAGATTTGAGTTCAAATTTCTCGTAAGCTTGCAAAACGACCTTTGAGAATGCCAATTGCATGTTCAATCCTGACTCGAGATTGTGCTAAGTGGTAGTTGAAATCAATGTTCCGACGTTTGAGCAAATGCTTGCCTTTGAACGCAGGGATAACATAACAATCGTTGGTGTAGGCTGAGTCTGCTAGTAGGAATTGCTTTCGATCAAAGTACTTTTCAGGTTTTTGGGCCACTTGCATGTGCGAAAACACATAAGCATCATGTGATGAGCCAGGAAATCCAGCCAAATAAGAAATGAACTTTTTGTTGATATCACATATGACCGTTAATGAAATGGAGTATCTGATCAAAGCGGCCAAGAACAAATAAGAATCAATGAACAAGGGATATTTTTTTTATCATTGAGCAGTATCAAAAAGCTAACCTCTTCTTACGATCAAAGTAATGTTGCCCATTGCTGGGCGGCTTCTGGCTCAAAGGGATGGTCGCTCCATCTACAAATCCCACACAGCCAGGAAATCCTTCCTCTCGCATGACCTGAGATGATTCTATTTGTTCAGATTCGGTAGGCCAAGTGACTAAAGAAGATCGTAATCCATAAACAGCATGAATGACTCGTCTAGTATACAGGTCAATCGTTCCAAATCCAACTTGAAACAGATTTTTGAGCCTGTGGATAGCTGAACCGTTTCCATTTGATCCAAGACGACATACTGCTACAGCAATTTGGATGACTGGATCCCTTTGGGGATTACGAGAGTTGTTGTATAAGATGGGGTTTGGTTCGATGAGCTGTACCAGGTTGAGGAAGCAAGGGAATGTCATACGAAACATCTGTACAAAGCTTAACTCTGGAAGACCTTGAAGCTCAGACAAGTCATAACGAGGATCAAATCGAGTTGTTGAGTTTCGAGCTGCTAGGTATCGTTTTTGAAGCTGACTCATAGAGAAAAAGTAAAAATCTTCAAGTTCTGAGTCGTGATCTGAATCTGAATCGTTCATCATGGCCATTGCAGCAACATTGGTTGCTTCAATTATTTTCTTTCTTCGAGATACTTTGGGCATTATTGCTTTTGAGGACGAGTGGAGCCGATATTGGTGTTGATGATGAATGGTTTGGTGGTGGGATGATCGGTGCTGACGATGAGAAGTTTGGTGGTGAGACGACTGGTGCTGATGAGGTGAAGTTTGGTGGTGCGAGTGGAATTTGGCGGTGATATGAGTTGAAACAAATGGGATTTTTTAATTGACTGGTTTGGGTGAAAAGATGTGTGTTTTTTTGTTCAAAACCCGTTGGGGTTGATGGAGGTGGATTTTGGAAACCCGTCAATTAATAATTGTGCATTTCAAAAAAATAAGTGACGGGTTTGCAAAGGTGGATTTGCTATATTTGATACCCCCTAATAAAACTAGATCTGTTATAAATTCAGAAGCAAGAAAGCTTGTAGTAGTGTAGCATGGCTTATGAACATTAGCTCCTAGCAGTTCTGCTAAAACATTAGTGTAACTGATACTGGTATCCAGATAAACTGCCAGGCTATTAGATTCAGCCCTAGTATAGACCCACCAAGTGGTGCCAACACTAAACTACAGATCATCATTGGCCCGCTACAGCTACATTGTAATGCCCCATGAAGATGAAACTCTATATGTAGCTGTACCTCAGGTCAAGCTTGTGTATAGCTCTAGCCTAGTGATGCAAAAAAAAAAAAACCCGAACTGCATTGAAATTACACTAAATGTAATTTAAGACTTCCGTTATTGGGTGAGCCCTAGAAGTATATGGAATGTGGTGGGCTATTTCCTCACACATTTTGTCTGGTTAGAAATTTTTCAATGGGGTCTTTTCATCTGATCTTGGCTCTATGTCCAAACTGGATGAATTCGTTTTGCATCTGGAGCCCTTGAAGATATTGGTCTAGAGCTAAAAATTCTAGATGTTTTCACAAAAATCCAGATTTCGAGGCTCTTAATACAAAGGGAACCCCAGATGTTTAAAGATGGCCTTGCGGTACCCGGGACCCGTTGGCGGGTACCACCTTCACTCCTCCGGTACCCGCAAAGTGGTGCCGGTGTAAGACTCAAAAGTGGTTGTGAAACCCTTTTTCTGAATGGAGAAGGGTATGTTGGAGTTGCAAGCTCTGCCCTTCTATACTATCAGAATAACAAGACCACCAAGATTAGCTTGGCAATTTTATATATAGTGATAGGGATAAGTTCGAGATGAAGCTGCCGATTGATATGTGTGAGGGTATAAAGATGTTATTGACTGTTGGTTATATTGATGAAGTTTGTTGTTGATGAATATGGTTCAGGGTACTTTTTGTTTATGATGATGATGAAAGTGTTAAATCTGTATTTCAATGTGTATAAATCTGTAATTGTAATGTGGCTATGACTTGTAGTTATGAAATAATATATAAGATGGATTTATTTATAAGGGTGGTTGAGATGATCTGGTCCACTGGTGGGATGATGGAGGGAACAACTGGCAGGCAGAGGCCTCCTTATATAGACAAATGTGAGTGATTTTGGCCCCAGGGTACAGGCTGTGAGATACTACTACAAAGGGATGCATATAAATGAATAAAGGGACACATATGTATGATCAAAGGGATGCATCTCACTAATACAAAGGGATTCAAAATAACATAAAGGTATTCAATTTACTACACAGGAATTCAGTATGCAATATGCATCCTGTATTCATAATGACTATGGCTAGAGTGAACAATCCAAGAAATATCCTGTGACAGGTTGAAATACATGTAACTTCCAAACTGTAAGAGATAAGGGTATGGTTGTAGTGGGTGACTAGGGGTTATTTTACCTGAGGATTCCATTTTTGATGTCAATTTTACCATATATTGAATGAATAAAGAAATAATGAGAAATTTTTTATATTTTCTGCATAGAAACACAGTATTATTTACCACACCGGGTGCAGTACTTGGTGCCTGCTTTTGGGAAAAAAAGCAGGCAGTACCCTGGTACCTTTAAGGGTACCCGCCCCCAAACCCCCTCTTTGGTGGCTTGACCAAGACTAATTACTGGTCTCGTCCAGGTTGCTGGAGAGGACCCCTCCTTGGCAACCTGATCAAGACCAATCAGGTTGCCAGTAAGGGCCCTCCTTGGCGACCTGATCAGTCTCAACCAGGTTGCCTGGAAGAATCTCCAGTAGCCAGGCGGTACCCGCCAGGAGTACCGCCAGTACCCATCATACTTGAGCGGGTGCGGTACCCGGTGTCCGTTTTGGCCAAAAAAAGCAGTCGGTACCCGGGTATCAACGGGTACCCGGGTCCCATGGGGCCATCTTTACAGATGTTGATGTGAATTCCTTTGGCATTTACGGAATCTTCAAATTGTTTGTAGGCAATTTTTTTATCAGACATTGATTTGAGATTTTGGTCAATTTTTCTCAGGCTGGATAACCAAATCTACCATTATTAAATTGACTGGTTTGAAAAAATCCACCCTTTTTTAAACATGTTGGTTATTCATTTAACCCCTTTTGGAGTTCATTGATGCAAAAAAAAAATGGGAAAAGTGACTGGTTGCTAATGGTGGATTTCCTATATTTGATACCCCCTCATATGTTGTCTTACTTCTTTTCCAACTTTTTCCACACTTTCTGTTGAGATCTTTTTGATAGTGATAGTAGCAAAGATTTTTTTTGCTTTTGCCATGGGCCCCTGAGGGCTCAACTATGGAAAACCTCCAACTGTGATGTGTTCTTTGACAACCAATTGTACTCCATTTTTTGTACTGTGATAAGTAAGTAGTCATTTGGAACAATGATGAGCAGCGCCCTACTTTTTTATGCTCGGTTGTAGGTGTAACTGTGTTACCTGCACACAAGGGCAATACATTCAAATTTCTTCTTGTTGGATTTCCGCTTCCTTTAGTGCTTTTTTCAACATTTTTATTTCCAAGATGTTTAGCCGGTCTTGTCTGCTCATTTGGCTTCCTTTCAAGATAAAGAACTTTCGTTCGAGTTGTAAAATCCACAATGTTTTTTATGATTTTTGGTACTATTTACAGTTTTTTTTTTCTTCATCTTTTCTTTTTTAAGATTCTTCATACAAATCGATACATCAAATTCTGAAATCGAGTAATTGAAGGGAACCCGGAGGCATGGGGTTCGATTGTTTAGGGCCAAGTTCTCTGCAAATCAAATTGATGGGAAGTGGACTCAAGATTCCATCATAGACAAGTCGCCATCCAACCAGTTAGCCTTCGAGCGACTCTTGAGCACTGTCTCCTGTAGGTTAATTCAAATTTTTGAGGTCCACTTTTACCTCCTTCAATTTCATCAAGGAGGAATCCAAGGAAGAAAGGTTCAGCGTTTCATGAGAAAAGCTAATTTTTCAAAAAAAAAAAAAAAAAAACAGAATTTCGGGCTGTCAGATTGTAACTAATCTTTTAGGTAGTGAAAACACACGGCATATATTCCCAACTTTTAGTGAGTTCGTACTCACTTACCGCAAGAGTTTTTTATCTCAATGATCAACTTGATTTTTCTACCACGGTATCGTCCTGATCTCTTTCTTCGTCATATGACCCCGTGACAAAATCCTTTGAATGGTAACATGTGAAATCAGTGTGCAAGAAAAAAAAAGAGATTTGAGAAATCTACCCGAGCATTCTCGCACCATTTCAGAAACTGTTTTGAAACCTGCGTTAAGGCCTGCCTTCCTATACCAAATGTAACTTCCCCCGTACAATGCTGCAAAAATAAATATAGGAGAATATCTGAACCACCATAATCAGATTCATTTCTTTTGAGGATGTTGAATGCCGGTGCAGAAGACTTACCCCGTAAAAAAAACCACCGGGTCCCAGTTGTTTGGTAACTACGCATAGCGTAATCAAAGCGGGAGCGGCGATACAACAGGCAATGAAAAGACGTAAGATATTATCAATTATCTGATACTATTTTGAATCTCGAAAGTATTTCTCTAGCATCCTATGAAGATCAATTTCAAGGGCACTTACAAAAACTTGATAGGAATTGATGATCACTAAGAACGAGCAAGCGACTATGGCACATATTGCGGCAGGCGTGCGCTAGATGAGTGAACGCCATCATCACGGTTTGCAAGATTATTTTACTGGAGTTCAGTTGAAACTGTTGCGGATCCCTGAGCGGTACAAACGGGCAGTTGCTTACGAGTGGAAATCTGTAAGGAAAGCTTGACCGGTCTATCTTTTGGGCTTTGATGCCGGCTTCCCATCTTAAGTAGGTAACTAAGACTCCAATCCATGTCAGGAAGCCGGAAGTTGAATACATGTCTTCAAAAAGTAAGGGGGGAAATCAAATTGGGTCAGGGCCAGTTATGAAGATTATAATTGTGGAGAAATTCTCACTTGCAAGCCATTCAAATACGGCTCCTGCTCCACTCTGGCCTACTGCCGCGAGGGCCAGACAACCCCAAATGGAAGCCACAATCGTACATGGCCAGGGTACACCCCATGAATTTGTTTTGCGAAAAATCTTTGGGGCATTCCCTTCGACGGCCAGTGAGTAGAGAGCCCGTGAAGATATATACATGTTACTTGATGCCGCAGACCAGGCGGATGAGATCAACGATACGTTGATAATTCTTTGAATCAAAATGAAAGCAAATCTCAGAATCTATCGCTCATAGCTTGCAGGATCATTGTGCCTGAAAGGCTCACGATGGTAGATATTTGATACCCGATCTTTCAATGGCAATGACAAAAGGAGAGGATGCGGCACCGTGTGACTCGAGTCGTAATCTCGGCTCGTTACTTGGAACCAAAAGACCAATAATCGTCGTTCCCAGGAAGTAAAAAACAACTACACGCCAGACGATCGCTCGGATGGCCCTCGGAAGCGCTTTCTTTGGATTTCTAGCTTCAGCCGCCGCGAAGGCTGCAATCTCACTCCCAAGAGTAGAGAAAGACGCTTGGTTTGTGGCAGCCCTGTAGAGTTAGGAGTAGAAGAAAATTAGTCCACAAAGAGGATTTCATAAGGCGAGTGGGTCTTACAAAAATCCCATAAAGTGTCCCAATGGCCCTTTCCTGCCCAAGTGCTCCACCCAAGGACCAGGATTTTTCCAGTAGCGACCGCCAATGAAGTCTTTAGTTGGTCCTCCACCTAGGTCTAGATAATAATTTACACGGTCAGAAATTGCCACGCAAAGCACCTGGAGAGCCCCTACCTAGCACAATTCCCAGGACGATGAGACCCGTCTGCAGAATCAAATTGTAAAAAAATTGAATTTATATATGATACCGTATCTGAGTACCGAAAATATAGGTCGAATTGAGGGCTTACAATTGTTATCAATTTGATGGATGCCAGCCTATTTTCACTCTCAGAATGCTCATCAATTACCTGAAGTTGAAATTTCGCAACAGGTTACAACTGACCAAAATTCACACTCTCCATAAAACCTTTTCGAATCAAAAGAAAAAGCCTCAGCTACTCTGACAATTTATTTCCCGAGATGAACTCATCATACTTTGAACCGCAGCAATTTATCGATATTACTACCGCTAAACCAACAAAAATCCAAACACTGTTGTTAACCGATGTGATCCAGTAATTGATAAGAACCGCAGATGCAGACATTTCTGTTGGAAGGACTAGAAGAGCACAAACCATACAATCAATCAGGCTCGTAGTCCGCTCCAAAAACCATAGATAAATAATCCACTTACTGATAGACCAACTATACCAGTAGTTGTATCCCATCGTAAAAGAGAGAGATGGGCTAACAAATCTTTCAGCGAGGGTGACATGCCCTCCTGGGATCGGTAGATGGGCCACTAGTCACGCGGTAAGTAGTATCAGCATACACAACTTTGGGACGGTTTATCTCGAAACAGCTCAGCATCATTTCAAGGGGAGGAGGGGGAGGGTAAAATCTTTCTCTGCTCTCTCTGAAAGGCACAAAGCAACAGCACAAACCCATTTCTCCTAAACAGCCCATCACGACCCATAATACTGAGTGGGTTTTCAAAAAAACAAGAACATGAATTAGTGGATTATTATAAGATATGAATCCTGATGAATTCAACGGATTCTAAAAGAATTTATGCACTTGTTCCCATGACAATATAGCCTAGAACCAGCCCAGCCGGTCCAGCATCGTGAAGGGCGCTTGCGGTACCAAGAAAGAGACCGGTACCTATTTGCAAGAAAGGAGTCAGAGAGCTTTAAGGAAGATTTCAGTGCTTGAATTTGAAAGTTTCTACGTACCAATTACTCCGCCTATGGAGATCATCTTGATTTGCAGTTCAAGATTCATCAGCCTCACATGCTAACCATGACCGCGCTGCTGATGGGATCTTTGAGAAATTTTCCGAAAGGAGGGTGAACGGACCTGGATGTGTCGACTTTCCATGCCTCTTTTTAATCCTTTATTAGCCCTGGGGACATGTTTCTGTCCATCGCTCTCGACGAACTTAGATTCAGTATCATAAGTTCGCTCCATTGAGATGCAACCTTTTTCCTCAGATTCTTGGACTGCCTGCGGGGATCTCATGATAAAAATATGAGTCTATGTACCTGAATGAATAGTATGCCGAAATGAAATTGAATGTTGGAGGGATATTTAAAATAAGATGAAGAAAACGCAAGCCCGTGGACCATCATCGAGCCACCGTTTTTGATTTTGGTTTTTTGCAAACGGAATTCTGTATTTTGATCATACAACATTCAAACACGTTTTGGAAAAAATAATCTTCCCTAGCGCTCTCCCCCCCAAATCCCATAAGCGCGAAACACCAATATGTATTTACATGTCACCATCGGCCTGATCGGCCCTCCACCTCTCATTGCGTCATGGAGAGCCGATGCTGCATCGGCTCGGGAAGTTCCAACTCCCGGACCGAAGCTGATCGATTGGTCCGGGAAATTTGAGGAGAAATAACAAAGCCCAACACCACCCGTGTCCTCTCTGACCGCACTCTGTCCGTGACGGTCAAGGAGGGAGAAAGTTAATGGTCCGGCGCGATGTTCTCGGACCGATACAGAGGATTTGTACATTTATCTTCGGGCGATAGCGGACTTGATAAGGTTCTGAGCATCCTCCAGTATGGCAAAACTACTTAAGGGCTCGCCTCCACCAAATGGTGACGGCGGCTTTCATCGCCAGTAATGACAGTTAACATTATCGTGTTTTATGACATAGTGGACGATTTCCTCCAGTCAAATCTACGTCATCATGCAGAAAAGACACTCTTGCACCGCAGGTGGGTCATGATGAAAACACGATCATACAGATGTTCAGAGACTCCAATCGGTTTATACGTAGCTCCATGTGTTCTGTTGGCAAGTCGCAAACAATTCAAGTGGATCAGAGCTCAAAACCCGAGACGACGGAAGCTCAGCTCTGCTCAGCTACGTCATCATCGTGTCACCTTCTATGCCACATGTACCATGTCCGAACTCTCAGAAGTTGGGAGTTCAAATTGTATTCGCAACAACTTCCCTAAGTCCGGCTTCATGTACAGAAGCAAAACGTGCAATCAATAATTTCGCTGGTGGAGCAGTCTTCCGGTCAGAGAAGGATATAACTTCGATCCGGCGCTGCCGGGTCGGGTCGGGTTGGGGGAGATGTCGTGCATGTGGTAGAAGTATCACATGTTCGGAGTTTCAAACCAAAGGAAATTTGGCTGTTACAAGTCCCTGGAAATCCGGTTAGCAACCAGAAAAAAAACGGCTTCGGAGCCCCGATCGTCAGATTACTGCCTTTTCTGATGAATCGATTTGCTTCTTCCTTGCCATTGAGTTCTGTCAACTCCCACATCTGGTCAATTTCTGCAATACATTCCATCCATCTCCCATGTGTTGATGGGAAATGATGATCTTCAGACGCAAGCATTTTGGTCATGAGGAATTGATCCAGTGGATAACTCAGTTCATTGAGTCTGTTTCCAGAAAGAATCACCCATGAATTTTCCACCATTTCTATCTTGATTTGAAGTTCATTCTGCGAGAGTTCAGACTTTGATAAACCAGATTTCAAACTGTGAAAATTGTTAAATTTTTAATATAGCATGTCCTCCTTGTGTTGTTTGCTATCTCTGCATAGATTTTACCACTGCATTAGAGGTTATGTGGACTTCACAGCACATAAGGGTGTAAAATTCTTGCCACATTTTCCTGTTAGCTCATGTATTTTATATTCTTTTGGAATGGCTTGGGTATGTAAGGTCAATCAAGATAATTGTTATAAGTAAATTGTCAACAAAAATAATGATGCTTAAGGAGCAATGTACTACAAGACTTCTTTCACCTTCTCCCAAGGATGGATCTGAATTGCAAGAAATTTTGCCCTCCCAAGTGCCCTCCCAAGACTGTTTGAAGAAAATCTGGAGTTTGAGACAAGAGGAAGAGATGTGATTTGAAGATTCTTATTTACTAGTAGAGCCTAAACTAGAGATGTCAGGCTTGGTGATGCCAAGACAGTAGGTCTTCTAGCTACACCAGCTGATAACGCTTGTTTGGTATCAGATGAAGAAGAGATAATTGGATTGAAAAGGAGGGGCCTGGGTTGCGGGGGTGTTTACAATGCCCTCCTGAGATCACTAGCTTTCAACACGCTTATCACAGTGGTTCACTTGTGCAGCACAGTCTTACGGGGCCTAGCGATACTAGGGTATTTGGTCCGAGTAGTGTGTATGGTCAGAGCAATAGCAATTAAAGCTATTCCTTGGCAACAAATCTCTGGCACTCAAGTGCTGAACTTAAAGGGATTTGTGGTGCTCTGAGTGATGATATAAGATGGTGTGCTGGGTAACAGAATTATATTGGAAGCAACTGCTTTTTCAGCAAAATCAGACATCCAGATCCAGATCCGCATCTGCTGGCAGGTATGCGTTGGCCACAGCGGGTATCACCATGAAAAATTTGAGGTCAGTACATGTCAGGTGACATGAAGCTAACTCCTGCCTTTATTCCAGTGTTACTTCAAAGTCAAAGGGTTGGGACTCCCTGATGACCACAAAGGGCAAATTGTCATCTGAGCAGACAAGCACCAGAGTAACAATGGAGTTGTAACATATGTCACTTCATGTCACCTGACACCTACTGCCCTCAGATATTTCCTGGTGTATCCACGGATATCTGCCCTTCAAATGGCTGACTGGGTACATGTACCTCGTTGACTGGAAGGAAAACCTTCCAGTCTATGGAGTACATGTACCTCGCCGGCTGGAAGGGGCTCCTTCCATTCAACAAGGTACATGTACCTTGCCGGCTGGAAAGCAATCCTCTCAAATAGTCACTCTCAGTCTCTCGGCCTTGGGTACCCCTGGAGATACCTGGATATCTGCCAGGATTTCAAGGAAAATCGGACATTCACACCCAAATCAGTATCCCCTGGCGGGTATCTGCCAGCAGATAGCAGGTATCTGCAACCAATAACCGGAGGCCATCTCTAGCCTACACGTTGAATAGACTATGTACAGTCTCCTCCCGGATGTTTATAGCCATCTGTTTTGAGCTCCACACTGGGAACCCAAAAACTTCAAGTCAAAAGAGTTTGTGGAATGGTGAAAAATGGGTCTCCAAGAATGAATATGAAAAAATAATATTAAAAAACAAGTTTATAAAATTTGTGAAAAACAAAAATGAGAAAATCACAAAAATGGACAGCTCTAATATTTATTGCAGGAAAATATGAAATCTCAGAAGTCATAGTATGAGATCTGGAATGAATAATAAGAAGTGAAAATTTGGAAAAAAAATGACTACTTGGTGGTTGAAAAAGCCTGCCTAGGGGTTCATTCATCAAGAAATGTGGCAATCTGGTACCCCAATCTACTAATTTTGACTGCAGGGTGTCCACCCACCTGCATTCTCAAACTTTTTTTGGATCAATATTTTTCATTTATAATCATTCTTTTCATGTTCCAAACTTGCCCTCTGTGTGTTCACTTTTCACTCAAACAAAAAATTAAAGTTTTCAAAAAAAGTTGATTTTCTTTTATCTTTTTCACAAATTTTAAAATCTTGTTTATTATTATTATTTTTTCATATTAATTCTTTGAAACCCATTTTCCACAATTCCACAAAATCTTGTGACTTGAAGTTTTTGGGTTCCCACTGTGGATCTCAAAGCAGATGGCTATAAACATCTGGGAGGAGACTGTACATGAATATCAAAGTGAATAACAAAAATTAACATATTCTTTAAGCAATGACTGGAGCAAATGAATATTGATAAAGACTAGACCCGGGTTGAAATAATACAAGGATTCCAGCACTGGGCAACAAGACAAGGTGCCACACAGAAACTAACAAAACATTTTCTCTAAACATTGTGAATCTAAAAGTGGAAAGTGGATGAAATTTTAGGGATGAGATGAAATATAAAAAATTCCAACTACACTGTTCCTGTTTGCCAGATGATTCTGTGATCCTTTCAAGAGGCAGTTGCTTTGTGTTTCTGATTTGATCTTCAACAGATGTCCCTGATTCTGGGATTGTATGAACAAGCAAAAGAGCCTTTAGAGCATCCACCCTTGTCTCTGTAAGCGGGATTTACCCAACTTTTTTTGATATTCCCATAATCGTGCACTCTTTAGCTCTCTATAGCTAACAGGACACTCTTTTAGTCTGTAAGGATTTTTAAAGTTACGAATCCCTACCAAGCCTCTTTAGGCCCATCTTACAGAGGCTACATAGCACACTCCCGCATCCACTTCCCCCCCTCACCAGTCCTCTTATAAACAATCCATGTGTATCAATGACCAGTCTATTCCAGTAATAATGCACAAAACACTCCTCCAACAACCAATACCAACCAATATTCCCTTGATGATTGGTCTATACCAGCGGTCAAGAAAACCATACTCCATCAACAGATGCTACCAACCAGTCATTAAGAAAAGACCTCCACTCAGTGTTTGGTCTAAGATGCTCCCTGATTGACTGGTACCAACAGGCCATTGAAAAGAGAGAACAACCTCCCTTGATGACTGCTATCAACCTGTTGTTGAGGAGGGTACAAAACCCTCATTGAATGGTACTCTCCTAAATGACCGGACCGGTCATTAAGGGAGGTTCTGTCCTTTCCTCAATGAGTGATTGTTGCCGTTCATTAAGGAGGGTGTCCTCCGATGACCAGTTGGTGTCATGGAGGAGGGTGATGTGTGTAGTGAGTTCTTTTAGCTAATTGCTAGATACTAGTTGGGCACAAAGGCGGAGTAGCCCTTGGTAAGATTTATCAGCTGGCTAATGAGCCGCTTACAGATGGATGAGGGTGGGTTTGGTCTGTAGTTGAGCAAAAGAGGTCTGTAGGCCTCCTTAGCTACCTAAAGATTTACCCCAACGGGGGTGGATGCTCTTAAGATGCACGTTTCCAAGCTTCATGTGACAGATTTTACACTCAGACAAGAGTTGTACATGCTGTGTGATTTGATGATCTAAGCTGCAGAAGCTGGCTAAAAAAAGATGTCCAGCTGTCCTTTTATGATAAATTTCTGGTTCTGTAGTGAGATGTACAGCTCTTGAGCTAATGGGCCATAAATCCTTCCAGGGTCTGATCCAGAGGTGAAACTGTGAGCTAATAAGATCTGCCTGGGGCTAGAATAAAAAGATGCACAGTTGCAGATGGCATGCATCAACCCCACCTGCAAAAAACAAAAAATGACAAGTGGGCCCTCCACCCTGGGGGGTCAAACACATTGATATATACTTTTCAAGATTTTGAAATTGCACAGGCGTCTAGAGCTTTGTTGGAATGCTGCCCTTTTTCCTTTCTCCTCTTGCATTTCTTCTTCCTTTTCCCTCAATCTGTATGATACCTAAACATGATCACTTGGATCTAACCCATCACCATGAAATCCCCACCAATCAATATATTCTCAATTCTCATTTTTTTGCTATGGAATCTGACCCCCAAGCTTGTAGTCTTAGAAACCTATTTGAGATTTCCTCTCAAAATTTCTGCTTATCCTTGGTTTCAGATACTTCAATTCTGGTGTTTGATATCGTACCCTTTTTTGATCATTCTTTGATATTCCTCTATATTCATCTTCATTCTTTACCACAGCCATGGGTTGACCATATTAGTAGATATTCTATCCGATATATCTAAGTTACAAGCAATGATCACCATCGGTTCTGCTCCCCATTGAGTTTGACCCTCTTTTTATCCCACTACAAACTGTTCATCTGAGGCCATTCAACCATCTCTTGGTCATTTTGAGCACAGAAACAGCAAGAATCGGATGCTTATTTTGGACTCAAGAGCTTGAAAATAAAACCTTAAAGTTACAAGACCACATCAATTGGTGCAGAAATAATATAGGTCCCAACAAAACTAAATACAAACACAGAAAAAGTTTCAGAGTGTGTGTGGGTGTGTTTTTTTACTTAACAAAGCTTTGATGTTCATTTTGGGGGAGTGAGCAAGCCCAGAAAGTATAGAATGGGCCAAGAGAATAATGATTAAAGAGTAGAGACCAACTCCATCTGTCATGAACATCTTGCCATAAAAGTGTACAATTTGATTTTTTTTATTTGGGTCTTTATTTCTTTGGTTTTTTTAGTTCCTTGATAAATCAAAAGAGAGAGAAAAAAAAGATCTGGTGTTGGATCATATTGATATCAACCACCAAAAAGATCATGAATTAGAACAAAAGCAAATCAAAACCATGGATCTTCTCAAAAAGTAAAAAAAAATCACAAAAGATGTGTGGAAAAGAAAGGAATATTTGGAATATTCTGCATTGTAACAATGAAAGAAACAAATGGAAACAGAAAACAAAAGGAGAGAGAGAGATCTTTCAGAAACACACAGTAGATAAAAAAAGATCAATAAAAAAAATAGAAGGCAAAGAATTAATAGTAATAAAAAAAAGATAAACATATAAGCATATGTATATATATAACTGATCAATCATATATATAGCTATATTATGAATGAAAAGGATCAATTAAAAAAGAGGCTTGAAAAGGTAACTGCTCCGCTAGGATTTTTTTGTACAATGTCACTACATAGAGATAGATGATGATAATAAAAAAAAAAATAAGGGAGTGAGCAGGGAGAAGGAGAGAGAAAAGAGAAGGAACAAAAGACAAGGGTCCAAGCGTTCAAAAAAGAACCCTGTAGTGATTGTTTGTTGTCCTTTAGATGGAGGGATGCTGGATGAGTAAGATAAAGTTCAGGAAAGTGGAAGAGAAATCTGCTTTTTGTTTTTGGTTGGAATCGATTTTTTTTTTTTGATGGGACATGTAACTGATGATCATAGAATGTCATCGCAAGAAAAATAAAATCAATCCAATGTTTGTTAATGTTTTTGATTATATTTACTAAGAATTTGACCATCCGAAGTCATCATAGCCACTGAAAGAAGAAGAAAAATCAAAAGACAATCAATCAGTCAAAAGAACGAGAACGAAGTTTGTAAGTTGTATAAGTTGTTAATGATAGGAATGAAAGTACTGACCTCTTTGAATTTTTCGGAGAACGTTTTCTTCTGGCCATCAGTCTCATCATCATCAGGCCCATCTCTCGCCTCGTCTCTTGAGTCAGTATAGAAGTCCTGGAAGAATAAAACGATAATGATCAACAATGAACAACCAAACAAAAACCGCAATCTGTGGACAAACCATTTCATGGAGACCGATGATAGCGGTTCGGGCGCCCTTCCTTTTGAGGTAAAATTTACTGCTGGAATACATGACGATAGCCAAGACGATGGGCAAATAACCAGTGATAAATGTAGCCGTGTCCCAATGACCGGTGATCTGAGATCATCATCATGTTCAACATCTGGTCAGCTTGGACCTGATGAGAAATTTCTGGGAGAAAACGTAAAAAAAACACTCACAAATACCGAATAAGAGTTAAACAAGAGGATCAAACAACACATAAAAAGACTGTAAATCGCTCCACCGGTCCTCTAAATCAAGAACATATGTATGAGAATCAGTGATCCATCATCGATTGAGTAGGTGAAGAATGGCCAGTCTTACCAAGTATGATTTGTATGGGAATTGGTCACGGTTAATGTTTTGAGCTTTAACGCCAGCATCGAAGCGCAAATACGTGATCAAGATGCCGACCCAGGTCAAGAGACCAGTGACACTAGACATAGCTGATTGAAAGCGGATCAGGTCGAGCTGGGGGTAAAAGGAGGAAGTTCAGGGCAAAGACTTACTCGAAAGCCATCCGAAAACTTGCCCGGCACCACCGGCGCCTACAGACATGAAAGCCAAGAAACCGATTGCAAACGAGACAAGTAGACAGGCCCAAGGTAATCCCCAGGAGGTGGTCCTCTTGAAGAAGGCAGGAGCATTACCGGCAAGTGCCAATCCGTAGAGCGCTCGGGATGAGGTGTACATGTCACTCGAGGCAGCCGACCAAGCCGATGATAGAAGAGCGGCATTGATCACCCTGTATTGTTTGTGGATTGTGTGTGAGTTACTAGTAAGCTGGGTAGATATGAGAGATCTTCACTCACGATGGCAATGAGTGAATACCCGACTTTTCGATGGCAATCACGAAAGGCGACGAGGCGGCATCGTGAGAATCGAGGTTCAATCGCGGGTCATTGCTAGGAACCAAGAGTCCGATGATGAAAGTACCGAGGATGTAAAAGATACAGATCCGAACAGCGACACCTTTGATGGCACTAGGAAGAGATTTCTTCGGGTTCTTGGCCTCACCGGCAGTGATAGCCGTGATTTCGGTACCGATGTAAGAAAACCCGGCTTGAATGAGCACAGACCTGGGTAATTTCAAGAACTTTGATTAGGATCTTCACGAAAATTGAGCTTGTGAGACAAATGAAACACTTACCAAAAACCAAGGAATCGACCAAGAGGCCCTTCGATGCCGAGATGTTGGACAAACGGGCCCGGCTCGCGCCAGTTCCTGAAGCCAATCACATCATGATCGGGTCCACCACCAGCATCTGGATGGGGGGATGAAGGCGTAAACAGACGTTCAGCGAGCCAGAAGAAAGCTTCGAAAACTGACCTAAGATAATCCCGAGGATAATTAAGCCCACCTGAATAAAAAAACACTCAAAGTTAATACTGGCATGGCTCACTACAACCGGCATAAAGAAGTATGAGCACTTACGATCGTCAATACTTTGATGGACGCAAACCTGAAGGAGGAGTGCCGGATCAGCATGTAATTTCACAAATAGATATCACCGAGGAACATACCAAAATTCAAACTCGGCATAAAACCTGTGCGACGCGAATACTATTAGTACCAGGAATGCAAACTCATGAGATTTGGAAAGGGAAGAAGAGAAATTCTTACCTAGCACCACCCAAATTAATCAACCCGACAATGATCAAGAACAAGGTGATCCAGACAGCATTGTTGACAGCCTTAGTCCAATAATTAACCAGGATCGCTGAAGCGGAAATCTCGGTTGGAAGAACTATGTTTTTTTTTGTTGAGACAACAATGTAAGTGGAAGGGAACTAAAAATTGATTAACGATTGGATATGACGTACCGATGGCCCAGTTGTAGAAATAGTTGTATCCCATCTAATGTGAAAAAAAAAATCCGGAAACAAGATGAGATGTATGATTTCCAAGGAAACATGTTTTCGAGAATTGAGTAGGAGACTTGACGAACTGTGAGTGATAAACTGGAGTCGACAAAGCGCTTGGCAAGAGTGACATGACCACCGGCAATGGGCAAATGAGACACTGTGAGAGGCAAGATAAATGAAAATGAGTACACAGGTTGAAGGACGCGAAAGGAGTTTTTTTTGTGAGGGGCGTACCCATTTCACCAAGTGAAGCCATCACGTTCCAGACGACTGAATGGGAATCAATTGGTTAGACAACATAGACCATCATTTCCTATATTACACTTCTTTCAACAGAGTACCAAGAATGATGATAAGTACCTGTTCCCATGACCAAGAATCCCATCATCAAACCGAGAGGACCGCCATTAGCCAGCGACTGCGCAGTACCCAGAAACAGTCCGGTACCTGTTGTACATGATAAGAAAGTTTCAAGAAAATCAAGTCGGCGTCCTTTCTCCGCTTGTGTGTCGCATGATGTCGCGGATATATGCAGGTCCCAAGAGTTTCAACGGCCTCATCTACAAGGACTAGATTATTACTCACCGATCACACCACCGATCGAGATCATCTACAAAAAAAAACCCGGTTATAATCACAAGACTCATGTCAGCGGACTGTTTTTCTTGGCGAAGTGCATACACTCGAAGGAAATGGGAGAAGAGACTGACCTGAATGTGCCTGGATTTCATGGTCCGATGAAGGGTAGCAGCGCCGGCCGCTTCGTCGTGGACATCCTGCCTGCTAGGGTCTTCGAGATCGTAGGTCTGAGCCTCGACGGTGGTTTCCTTTGAATGCGGATCCTCGAGTGGAAATCCCTTCTCGACATAATCCGGATTGGCAGCCATTTCTGAGTCGGTCGGATGTCAGGGGAGGAGTGGGGCAGAGAGGGGGGGGATTTGAGGATGAGATGAGATGGTTTGAATTAGTGGTTTGGGGATAGACAAATAGATAGAGAGAGAGAGAGAGGGTTGGATGGATGATGACGACTGATGGTCAAGAGAGGGAAATGTGAGGATTTAAAGACAAGAACGGGGGTAGCCGTGCCGAGGATGGATGGACCGGTAGGGCCGAGGGAAGCAGAGGAGAAGGGTCTGGGAAAGCGAAGGAAGGGAGGATAGGGAGAGGTGTATTGATCGGTTGATTGGATGATTATCAACAGAATTCGGTTGAATTTATTAAGGTGAAGCGAGCTGGCTGGCCTTGCATGGCTGGTATGGAGTGGGTTTGAACCAGATTGGGTTAGAGAATAATCCGGCTGGAGGGGGATAACGAGTGCAGGGAAGGAGGTACTCGAGCTCAAACCTGCCTCAGGAAGCGTGCTGGTATCAGTGAGACTAGTCTCAAGAAAGACTGGGTCTCTCCCGGTTCAAGGGTGTTTCTGAAACCGCGCAGGGGATAATCGGCCCAAAGGAAACAGTCACAACAGAGTGGGCCAATCAATCAAGGAAAAGAGTCATCTCGAGGATGATCGAAGACTGGTTTTGGGAGATCCAATCTTTTCTTTGTCTCTCTTTCCTCGGCAGACTGTGTAGAGGAGATATTATAACAGCCCGGGTTTATCCGGCCGTAGTGAGTATGCACCAACCCAATCCCCAGCTGGCAATGAACAGCGAATGGTGAGGATATCCCGTCGGTCGATTGAAAATAAGGCAGGTGTACAATAAAGGAGAGGAAGCAAGGGAGAAAGAGAGGGGGGGGAAGCATACATTCAGAAAATCGCAGTTGTCTTTCAAAGTTGCAGTAGAGTGTGTTTCCGGGTTGGATGAAGTCGCACGCTGATCTGTGTTGTGAACTGAGTTGATGTGGAGCTGTCCGGGTTCTTGAGGCCGGAGTGGATTGACAGATTGACAAGGGTTAAAATGGGTTATGAAGATGAGAGGGTCAAGATGAAAAAAGAAAAAAAAATGAAAAAAATGATAGATAAGGACTAACAAGATTTCGTGTTCAGGTTTAATAAAACAGCCGTTGGGAGGATGAAAAAAAATGAAACTATGTGATTATGTGAATAGATTGCAGTCTTGCGATTATGAAGAAGTGATCTGACCGGGGGAAGGGGTGGGGAGGAGGAGGAGATTGTTGCAGCTGAAACGACGGAGGACGCTAAAAAAAAGGAACCGAGAGCAAGAGAGGAGATAGCTGCCGAGGGAGAGACGGAAGAAGAAGAAGAAGGAGGAGGGAGGACAACAATAGTTTTTATTGTATCAGCGGGTCTGTATAGGAACTGTAGCCAAGCGATATATAATCCCCGATCGTATCGTATCTAAAATCGTAAACAGCAACAACAACAACAATAAAAAAGAAAAAACAAAAGAGAGAGCTATGTATGTAGAGGCTCCGATGGATGACGACGCGTGTCACCAAGAGCTGAGAAGTGTTGGGTATCCTACGGAAATGTGTGGATGATGAGCTTATTTAAACGTGCTGCAAAGGCGTGTTGGTCAAAGAATGGAGTCAATCCACGAGTGGTTGATGATGCGCTGCAATCAATCACAATCGAATCGATTGTAGATAAGACAAACCAATCAAAAGTGGTTATGGTATATTGGGATTAAGTGGATATGGGAGGGTATTATTATTATTATTAGTTGAATGCTCTGAAGAGGGTGGAGAGGAGTTGACAGCGAGATAGTGATTATTAGGAAGACAAGAAGGACTGAAGTGGTCACTCTGATAAAAAACACCAGATCAGGGACTGATGATGACGAAGGTTTTTATGTAGTTCGTTCTCAGCTCATGAGGCCATGTATCACCCAGCTGGTGGAAAATGGTCAACAAGAGAGTGACTTCAAACGAGCCTAATCCTCATGGCGACCAGTGTAGATAACACACTCATAGTAGACTACCGACTTATGTTTTTTTGCAGTCCACACCGAACCGATATATGGCTAACGAATCTGGCCATTCTTGGCCACAGTTTCGTGGCCACCATTTTGACCAACAAGGCCTACCAATGCATACAGAGCAAGCCGAGAGTGTTTTCACCGATTGGCGTTCAGAGAGAGGCGTTTTTTTGGCGTGCCGGAAGGGCGGCTGCAGGCTCATCCATCCCCAGCCAGCTGACATGTATGTACCAGAATATCAATTAGACCTTATTGAGACCAAGTGTGGGGGCAAGCCACACTCTTCCCATCCACACTATGCACACAACCCACAATCTGCGCCCAACGTCCTCTCTGGACCTTGCTTGCTCTTAAATAATGCCCCTTATGGAAGGAGACGCTCGAGCTCCGGTGATCGCCGCTTCGGGTCTGCGAGGGTCTCTGGCCACCAAAGGAGAGGTCAGTGGCCGATGTGGATGCTGGGAACAATCTCTCTCAAGGAAGTCCATGGGAGGCTTTTGCTTTTTCCTCTGGACGACTCGACGAGGCACGAGCCTCACACTGTATGTATCTACAACAATAATAAGGCCTTAGAAAAATTTCAGACCTTCCAGACTCTTCAAGTGTTGTATGTATACATCGTTACCGATAAGCTTATTGGACTGACGTGTATGCACCCATCATGCTCGCATACAGAGTACAGTCTACCAACGATGTCGTCATCATCCAACAACAGCGAAAGAGTTATCTTTTAAACAATACAAAAACTCGTGTGTTACATATTACCATTAGTTTAGGCATCTTTATTTATAAAGTCGAAGTAAACATCATTGAAGTCTTTGATCGATTCTCGGATCTCTGAGCCATGCAGATCATAAAGATATCCTTATCCTTATCTATTTAACATCATCATCATTAATACCATCTCGGCTTATGTCCTCCTCTGTACATAACAATGACTATCCATGCGCGCCAAAACCAAAAAAAAAACACAAGCGCCGGAGTCCCGGACGGTGAGGTCGGCCATGCCCATAGAGCGCATTCAGTTGGGGCCAAACGTGGCCGAGGATATATCTTGACTCTTCCAGTGCACACTCACTGGTTGCCCAACTAAGGGCCAGGCTCCTCTCTCATCACCAGACGGCCTTCTCGCGCCGCTGCACACTTTCTTGCACTGCTTCCGATCCGTCTCGACTCACAAGCTGACTCTGCTGGAGATTGTCGGCAGTTGTTGAGGAGCACTGTTTGCCTCTCTCTCTCTCTATCCCTTGTTATAAGCTGTATGTACACTGGGTACGTATCTTCGGATCAGGCCGTGTTGACGTTCATCCACGCTGTGCTCTCACTTCATGCCATAACTCTATTTGGTCAGTACATAAATATTGGAATGTATATGGGCATTGTGGACAACTACTTTTTTTTTGTGAACACGAGAGAGAGAGAGAGAGAAAGAAAGAGGTGGGACGGGAGCTGGATCAATGGATGATAAGAAAGAAAAGAAAAATCCAACTCAAAGCTGTGTCCACACCAACAACGACGATCAAAAAGTACACAACTGGACACGTACAGAAGATTTACGATAGAAAAATAGAGAAGAAGAGAAAAAGTACAAGATGCTTGAAAGTGTGAATCGAAACGGATTACTGGATACGTTCATACTCATCCCTCCGATCGACGCCAGAAGAAGAAGAAGAGGAAGAAGCGGGGACGAAGATGCCAGTGAAGCCGGCGGCAACGATGGCGGTGAGGAAGATGAGATCGAGGGCACTGGTGATGATGGAGATGTAGATGCTGGTCGAGAGGCGCGAGCCGAAGTAGAATCGGTCGTCTTGGTTGAACACGTTGAGGATCAAGATCCAGGCCAAGGATTGGAAAACAGCTACACACACACCAAATGCAAAAATGGAGGGTCAATAATCCAGTTGTTCAACGAGACTTGCTGTGGGATTAGAGGAGAGAGAAAAGAAAAAGGGAGAGAGGGGGGTGGGGGTGTACCGTGAATGGAGACAAGACCAGCACAGATCTTCCAGCCGTGTTCTTGCCGATAATTGTTGCCGATGAGGATCAAGAAGGTAGCGAAGAGATTGATGACGGCGATGACGATGGAGAGCTGAGCGGTATAGGCGGCGGTTCTCCACTTCTCGCAGAACCCGAATCCGTTTCTTTGAGAGAGAAGATCGGTGAGGATCACGGAGCCTCCGCCGAGCGAGGACGATTCGACTGGATCTCCTTCGTGGGCCACTCGGCGCGAGCGTGGTTTGGTTGTTCTTCATCACTTCGTATTGGTGGCCTGTGAAGCGGCTCGTCATCTCATCGGGTCGGCTCCCCCCTTGACAGTCTCGGTCCACTTGCGGGAACCGGCGACATTGGAACTCCGGATGCAAGTTCGACTTGTCGCATTTCTGGGTCAAGCCATAGATTGATGAGTATTGGAATGGCGACGAACTGGGCGTATCGAATCTTATCCTAATTTTCATTTCACATTCATCCGACGGGGCCGTTTTTTTTTTTTTTCATCCAAAAAAAAAAAAAAGATAGACTTTGATCAGTTGTGTTCGAATAGATAAAAAGGGGTGTGGGAGTTGTGTATAGAGTGGTGAAGAGGGACGAACCAAGTGGGTGATTGGAGGGTGTATATCGAGAGGATCAGGCTCAGGATGGTGACCAACAAGCAGCCGGAGTAGAGCAGCAGTTGCATCGTTCTCTTCTTTTTGGAGTGGCTTGTGTGTTATGAGTTCGGGTGTGATTCGCTTGCTTCCAACTTGATCTTTTTTTTTTTGAGAGAGAGAGAGATGCGTCGTCCAACTTTAAAACGGAGACCTCTACCGCCCCGACCCCCGGCCCCGACAGGCTATCTATCTATTGACAGCTCGAGCTCCCCGGGCTCCGATCCGGACCTCGCAGATCCGAGAGTAGGGTTGACGGCGCGCTACCTGAGGCGCGCCGGTGTGCGGGCGCCGCGCACGCGCGCCCTTGGCGCGCATGAAGTCTGGAAAAAGGGGGGGTGGCGCACACTTCTAACCCTAACTTTTTTGGGGGGAGTCATCCATCAACTGCCCATAAAAGCTGTATTTTTTTGGGTTTCTTGGTGGTTGAACTTACTTTTTGGCCCCCGAGAACCCGGTTCGACCCCCGAATAGTGTGAAGTGCCGCATGGCACCCGCCAATTGTGGCTACCCCGATAAAGCAAAGGTCAGACTTTGCTTGTGGTTAAAAATTTAGGTAGAAAAAAAAAATTATAATTAAAAAATTTAAAAATACATGGAAAATAGACGATATGTACATGTTTTTTACTGCAGAAAAATGGCGCCCCTGGCGCGCCTCCAATGTGCCTGCCAAAGGCGCGCATTGCTGGCAGTTTTGGAGGCGCCCTCCGGCGCGCACTTTTCCAAAAGTGGCGCCGTCAACCCTATCCGAGAGGATCAGCTCTGACTTTCCCCGCCCTGAACCCCCTTTTTTCACAACAGTATAGCAAAAAAAGCATAAGTAAAAAGGGTCTTGGCTAATTGACTCCCAAAAAGTGGAGAGTCGACTCCCAACCCCCGAAACCCCCGAAAAATCCACCGATTCCCCCAGGAAATGGGAGTTGATCCTCACAAAGATGTTGACACATTTGCTGTGGTTACTGAAGTAGGCTCACTCGTCTTGGATGGTTGAAGCTCCAACAGTAATTGGCTTCTGGGCAGCAGCAGGGGAGAAGGTACAGGCATCTTGGTTGTTGTTACCAGTGGTAACAGCAAAGTGAAGGCCAGTATCAACAGCACTGTAACGGGGTATCGTATCAGTCACAGCTAGGCAAAAGGGACTGCTCAACCAGAGGGGACATACACATTGATCAACGGCCAAGAGGTTCTCTCTTGGTCATTGAGTGTGTACACTCTCAACGGCCAAGAGTGTTTCTCTTGGCCATCAAGAGTGTACATCCTCAACTGCCGGGAGGGTTTCTCTCAGCCGTTGACGGTGTGCCATCAGCCGCCGGGAGGATTCCTCCTGGCCGTCAGGGGCTCTTTTTGGCTCGCCAACCCCCAAAACTCGGTGGGTTTTGGGGCATCAAATCCGTCCCCCGCTGGGGATTTCATTTTTTTTATTTAAAACTAGTATATGCCCCCAAATTTGGGGAGGCTGCTTGTTTTTGCCCCGGATGTTGGGGGTTTTACTCGATGACCTTTGGGGTTTTCTTGAGTTGGACACCTGTCTGCCTCGGTCTAACGCCGGCGTCGACAAATCCAACAAATGTGAATTGGAGCTCGACATCGGTGTTAGATTGCATGACAGTTTGTTTGGCTCTCTAAGCCTATTTTTTTTAGTTATATGTAGATTTTTGGAGATCCGACTCCCAAACCCGCTGGCGGGTTTGGGGGATCAACTCCCAATACTTGGGGGATTTGGGGGTATTTCGGGGGATTTGGGGGTTTGTGAGTCAACTCTCCAACTTTTGGGAGTCAATTAGCCAGGCCCCCCAAAAAAATATGCTAGAGATCCGGAGAAACCTGGAAACGGGCCAGATATCCTGGGGGTCAGGGTCAGAATCCGGCTCTAAGGCACCAGATCAGAACCCTAGTTTGACTATGTAGTTTGGGTGCCTGGTGACATTCACTTCCTCTACCAACTTAACCCTGAGAAGAATGCATGTCTTTATACCAGTATCTTTGCCTCAAAAACTCCAATTCTCTTGGCAGGAGCCTCTGTGGATAGGCAGAAAGTCCAATGTTGACACAACAGGTGAATTGGGGTTTCTCCCTGTCATATTTTCCCCAATCATTTTCTCACATGTCCAAAGTAGTCAACACAGTTTGACTTGAGTAATAGCTGTCAGGATCATTAAATAAATGGACAGATGTGTCACTTTTTTTGACCCAAAGGAAGAGTTTTCACTTCATCCCGTTGGGCAGAATGCTTCATTAGCAGTCTTCTAAGGCTCATTTCCTGATGAAGGAAGATTGCTAGGGGCACAAAATTTGATGAGGTTGTAGGCAAAGCAAAGGCCTTCACTTTCATGGTTGGTCTTTTTTTTGAAAATTTTATTAGAAAAATAAAACTTCCTCTTCCAAATCTGAAAATCCTATCAGGCAAAAAAAAAATTAATTGTTTCAAACGTCCTCTCCTTTGGAGGGGGGGGGGGCGCTTTGTGCCCAGGGGGGGACTAAGTCAAGTTTGCTTCCTCTAGTGACTCTGAGTCAAAACATTTTTTGTACAGCTGCAAGAAAAAGTATGTTAAAAGATATTGAGTTGTGTACAGTGGGTAGACAGTGAAAAGTGGCTGCTTATTTTGGATTCCAGAGCTCTGAAACACAAACTTGAAGTCATGAGACTTGGTCAGGTGGTGCATAATAGCTCCCAAAAAATGAATATGAAATAATAAAAGCAAAAAATAAAGTTTGAAAATTTGTGAAAAATAAAAAATAAACTTGATTTTTTTCAAAAGCTTTGATATTTATTTTGGGGGAGTGGGAGTGCTGAGAGAAAGATAGAATGGAACGTGGGAAGAATGATTATAAATGAAAAAAATTGGAACCAAAAGAGGTTTAGCCAGGTTGGTGGTCCAGATTGGAGCCAAAACAGTAAATTCTAGTGCTTTGCTGCAATGTGGTCTGGTGAGTGCCCCACTCAACAGCTGTTTGAAGCCATCTGAAAACCAGTTTTTCCAAAATTTTCATTCATAATCATTCTTCTCATTTCCAAATCTTTCTTTCTCTCAGCACTCCCCCTCCCCCAAAATGAATATCAAAGCTTTTGAAAAAAATCAATTTTGTTTTTTTATTTTTCACAAATTTTGAAACTTTATTTTTTGCTTTTATTATTTAATATTCATTTTTTGGGACCTATTATGCACCACCTGGCCAAGTCTCATGATTTTAAATTTGTGTTTTGGAGCTCTGGAATCCAAAATAAGCAGCCACTTTTCACTGTCTAGGCACTGTACAAGCAGCCAAGCCCGCTTGCTAATCTGTTGGTAAAAGAAACTCTTCATGACTACATCTTCAAGTTATCAGACCTGCTACTTTGTGCACAAGTCAGAGCCACTTTTCCAATGTCTACTGCTGTTTTTGGCCCTCTGGGAAATTGAGTGTTGCCCACAGTAAAGGATAAGGTAAACTGTTTGATCCAATTTGTTTTGCAATCAAATCACATTAGCCCTCTCGCATCATATTTGGAGTGCTTTGTGGAGTCTACTGAAAGGGAACAAAATCTGCATAAAAATGATACAGGTTACAATTCCGACAGACCCAAATGGGTTTGGGTTCTGCTCATATGGATTCCCAGGGACCCAAATGGTGTGGGGTTCAACTGCTTTGACAGGAAGGGATTCCTCCCAATCAAGGAGGCTGTACAAACTTTTTGACCTGACGGGATTCCTCCCAATCCAACAGGCTGTACAACCTCACAATCTGAGGATTCCTTTCAGTCAAGTTTTCTCAGCTGATTTTCTGGGGTAACAATGTTTTGGGTCACATTTATACAACTTCTTACCCTTGAAAATTGACAAGTGGTCTGTGAACAATTTCTCTACCAATTAAGGAAATAGAAAAAAAAAACATCATCTTTTGTTTGAAGAATTTTACTGTGTGCATAGTCTTTTGGGGATCATAATGCATAGCAGTGGACCTTGGGAAATAACTCAAATTGTTCACAAAGTAGGCCCAACAAATTATCATGATTTCTGGGTCATGGAAATGATGTCTTGAAGGTTCACTGTTCAGATGTGTGATGAGTGTGCTACTTGAGAATGTACAGTGCTATTTATAGCCCTGTGAATGGTGACAGGAAGTCCTCCAAGTCTGATGGACTTTGGCTGAGTGAGGGCAAAAAAAAAGATGGAAAATTTCAATCCATTGTAAAAATGACTGATTGAAATTCAATATTTCCTGGGTAAAAGGGGTATTATGGCTAACATGGGGTGTGATAAGAAGTGCTTGACCATATAGCACAGTGGCATA